TCTCCTAAAAGTCAGATAGTTGTTTCATTTCCTCGGCAGCTCGTGCCACGCCATTTTTAAAATTGTTTGCCTGGCACCTAAAAGTGTATCATGAAGGCATCAGGCTAACCTCCCTGGGAGCACATTCCACAAATGAGGAGCCACCGCAGAAAAGGCCCTGTTCTCGTTGCCACCCTCTGGACCCTTGCAGAGGAGGCACATGAAGAAGAGCCCTCATGATGATCGCAGGGCTCTGGGTAGGTCCATATGGGGAGTAGCCACTGATAGCCCTTCTCCTCCATGAATCTGACCAATCTTGTTAAAGCCTTCTAAGTGAAGGGTCCTATGGTTAAATATGATTAAACCTGCTCAAAGCCAATGATGTTAAATCAATGACATGGTGAGTGGGAGGAATCTGTTGCGCCCCTTCCCCCAGATGCTGCTGGACTACAAATCCCATCGTCCCCCTGCCCAGGAGCCATGCTGGGTGGGGCTGATGGGTTGTCAAGTCTAACAACACCCAGGAAGTGCCACAGGTCGTCCCCCCCCGCTTTATGGTGTGAAGAGGGTCGTCAGTGGAGAGATACGCGCTCGACTCACGGTCTTGAAAGGCTGGTATCGGCAGCTTTCCGGCATGGTGAGGACCTTGAGCTGGGCGGGCATCACCCGGGCCGGATTGTCAAGGAGCTGGAAGGACGGCTCAGGCTCTTTTTTCTTCTCCTTCTCTTCCTTCTTCTCGGTTTCGTCCTGTTTGGGGACGGGAGGAAGGAGGCGTTAAAACATACACACAGCCAAATACATACGAGAGGACAGGGCTTGGAGCCACAGCAGAACTTGCCCATCGTCCAGCCTTCGTACCAGCACAGACGTGCCCTACGTCAATGAATAATAAAGCAAAACGAAGCCAAAATCCAGGCACGCCAGGCAGCCTTAATGGGTTGGCTGCAAATTTTAAAAAGAAGCAGAACTTTATCCTGTCCCGTCCGATGCTCAACGATGGGTGTTTTTCTGAGCCATAAAGCTGTCTCCAAAGATGACAGCAGAGAGAAATCAGCAGGGATTGATAGCTCTCTGGAGGCTACTTCAGGTACACTTTGCTCCCCTCGTGGGCTGGCGGAAGGAAGGCTTTCCTTCAGCCTTGTTAAAATGCCTCTGGGCCTGTGTCATGTTTTCCCCCCCTCACAGGTACGGCCGCATGTTTGGACAACACAGGAAGAGGGCTTTCAGTTCCCAGGGAGTTGGGAAGAAAAGTTGCCCGGACAACAGAAGACACCCCAGAGCCAAACACAAAGATGAAGGCAGCCGGAGCGGAAGACAGAGGAGAGTGGCAAGAGCCAGACAGGCTTCAGCTTCAGTTTCTTGACTCGGCTATGAACTCACTGGCTAGTCTTGGGGAAACCACTGTCCCCCTTGCTCGGCAATGTGGGCGTACTAATGAAGAATGTCCTGTCCTTCAGATGGAAGGATAGCTGCGCATGAAAGCTCCTTCAAGTGGTCTATCAGCCTCCCCAGATGTTCAGCACTACAACTGGAGGGTGATGGCCGCACTTGCGGGGAATGATGGGAGTTGTAGTCCAAAACTACTAGGGAAGGCTGTAGCACATAAATGTCCAAATCAACTTTCCCAGTGCCTGCTTCCATTTTTTAGTTCTCCCCACTGCTCCTACTGCCCCCCTTGACTGCTGGGCCTTCACCTCTGGACCCAGTTCAGGCCATCTTCACCCCCCCACCCCCAAAAGCAAAGGACAAGCCAGGGTGGGAGGGAACACAGCTTGCTGCTCACCCACCCTGGGCAGAAGAACAGGGAGGGACAGCAAGGAGCAGTGGGGCCAGGGGTTTCTGCTGGGGTGTGGGTCAGTCTCTCGACACTGGCCCTGCACCGACCAGAAAGAGAAATGGGGTGGGAGGAAGAAACATGGGAGCACCACCCCAAGGCAGCTTCTGAGCAAATGACTCAAGCAAGTGATCCAGGCCACATGCTACAAAGGAAGGTGGAGACCCCAGGAGGCTCCTGGGGTGGTGGCAACTGCAAGATTCTTCTCTGATCCCAAACATTAAAGGTAAAGGTCAAGGGACCCCTGACCATTAGGTCCAGTCGTGACCGACTCTGGGGTTGTGGTGCTCATCTCGCTTTATTGGCCGAGGGAGCCAGCGTACAGCTTCCGGGTCATGTGGCCAGCAGGACTAAGCCGTTTCTGGCGAACCAGAGCAGCGCACAGAAATGCCGTTTACCTTACCGCTGGAGTGGTACCTATTTATCTACTTGCACTTTGACGAGCTTTCGAACTGCTAGGTTGGCAGGAGCAGGGACCGAACAATGGGAGCTCACCCCATCATGGGGATCTGAACCGCCGACCTTCTGATCAGCAAGTCCTAGGCTCTGTGGTTTAACCCACAGCACTACCCGCATCCCCTATCCCAAACATTAGGAGCAATTAAAAGGGAGCCTCCTCTGGCAACATCTCAGCCTCTTTGGGAGAAATGAGTGCCCTGGGACAATCCAACCAGATACCCGGAGAACACTGAAAAATGGGAATATTTGATGTAGCTCAGCACTCAGTTTTGCATTTCCCCATGTCTAATGAACTCACTCCAAGTTAGCTTGGCCAGACTGGAAGCAAGGCTGCCCTCCTCAGAAGGAGCCTCCTCATCCACTTCCGAAACTGGTCGGCTTGGATAAGACTGCCTCTGTCCCGCTTGCTGCAATCATGTCTTTGCCCCTCTTCGGCCTGCCTCCCGTTCCTTTGGGGCTTTCTCTGGGGCCCAACTGAAGGCCAGAGAGTGAGATGAGCAAATAAGGGCCAGGCAGAGGGAGCAGGGTTCCTCCCTGCCCTGCGGCCCATAGCTAGGCCTCTGTCTCCCTCTCCATGCTTGACCAGCTCCAGACACCACAGTCTCTGCAAGCCAGAGAGCTTCCTGAAGGTTCGGCAAAACATGGTGGTTTCTCCAAATAAACTTGTTCAATTCAGGTACCTCCGTAAGGTAACTGCAAACGCCACTTAACTATGGGATGAAACCACATTGACTGAATTCATTCAGGGTTTGCTGGATTTAGGGTTTAGCTAAGATCTTACTAGTGCTTTGCAGCACAGGGATGTTAGACTAAGGTCACTGCTTCTCTCTCTTCCAACTGCAGTGTCAATTTAATGTTGCCTCCCTCTTGAATGACACTGAATGGAGTTGGTGGGTCCTTACTGACGCCTAAGGAACCCACTGACAGAGAAGAAGAGAGTTTGACCACCGTGAAGTGGCTCCAGAGGCCCTTGCTTCCTAGATCAATGCCCCAGAACAGCATTCCTGGACGATGATTCGGAGGATGGGAGATTATAGACTCACCACTTCCATTTTCTCCTCTTCCTTCTCTCTTTCTCCTTCTCTTTCTCCTTCTTCTTAGCCTTTGCCCGTGATGGACAGCACAGCGGTAGAAACCTGCGCGTGAGAACAACAAAAGGCTTTCAGGAGAACAAGCCAATAATGGTGCTGTGAGGGTCAGGCGCAGATATGGCAGCGGGGCATGAGGCCCAAACTGGAGTGGGGGGAAGTGTGTGTGTGTGTGTGTGTGTGTGTGTGTGCGTGGAGAGGGGTGGAAGAGGGAGGGTCAGCTGTATGACCCACGAAGCCCCCAAGATTAGAGGGCCCCAAAGTTGGAGGCCCAGGTCATTCTTGCTTCTCAAAAGGTTTGTTTTCAGAGGGTGAGAAAGCAGGAGCTCTTAATCTCCTGAGGAGCCTTCCAATGCTTCTCTGAAAGAGTCCCTGGAGCAGGGAGAGCCTCCCAGTTGGCCTCGTATCCTTTCTTTGCATGCTGAGGCAGCATCCTTTGAGGGCTGCTTTTGGGGTTCATTCACACATTACATTTTGACAGATCCATGTACACCCATTAATACTAATAGTGTACATCTGAAAATGCTGGGCCATTAGTGGAAGCCAGCGCAAGAGGGCTTTCCCCAAGAACACTGGGGGAGGAGAGGGAAGACCATCCCACTGGGCAAACAGAGATGCTCACACCGACCGACCAATCTCCTTAGCGCTACACTGAATTCCACCCATAATTTATGATCAATAAAAACATATGTTTGAAATGAGAGAGGGAAGCGTCAGGGATTCAGAACTGCCCACTGCTCCCCGCCAGGCCCACTGTTTCAGGGCAAACTTAGGTTTTCTACCACACACTGTGTGAAATAGCGCAGAGGGGCAATTTCGGCTATGATCTCAGGGGCAAAGAAGCCTCGAGACACGTGAAGGGGTCCCAATGCAGCAGCACCAGCAGGGGCAACTGTTTGTTCAAGCAACCCACATGGACACAGGAGGGCCGTTCACCCACCTTTTCTTTCTCCTTCTCTTTCGGCACCTCCAGCGGGGCTGGGTAGGCAAACGTGGAGGGCTTGACGTTGGATCTGTACTGCACTTTTGGCATCTGCAGAAGGGAAAGAGAGAGCGCGTTTGGAGGGGCAAAGTCGGACAGGCATGGCGGAAGGCCGGAGAGCAAAGCGTAGCCTCGTGCGGTGCCCTCATTGGGAGACGCACACAAACCAGGTGAAGCACAAATGCTGCCTCTGCCACTCGCCGGAAGCTTCTGAGCCATCAGGGGACTGAAACATCATTATTCCATTACCAGGCAATTTAGTCCCGGTGAGGCAGTTGTGCTCTCTCTGGCTCCCACACGGTACAGAGCACTGTTTGTGCTCTTGCGTTCTCTCCCGGCTTTTCACATTTCGGCCATGACTGGAAAAGGGATGTCGAAGGCAGGGCCGGGCAAACAGAAAGTGTGGGGTTTGGTGGCAGGTTCAGAACTCAGCATCCTGAGAATCTCACATTCACACATGCCCCAAGTTTCTAGCCCTTATGAGGCTAGAGGAAAGACGGAAGGAGCGTCTTGCAAAGGCTGCAGTGAAATAAAAAGGTCAGGGAGGATGGGGGGGGGGAGTGAAAAGACACACTCTTTATTCGACGTAAGTCTTCTGAGGAATTTCACATGCAATTTCCTTCCCTGCTGTGACGCCTGTCAAAATCCTACAAACTTCATTGTGCGGATCCTGAATTAGGATCAAGCCACAAGTACCTAAAGTAACACCGGCTTTGGTAAGTGTGGCCACTGGCTGCTGACTTCCAAGGCCAAATTATAACCGAGAGCAGATGAGCCTGTTTGTGGACTGAACCACATGGGGCCTTTGTGACTGGGTCCCCCTCCACCCTCAAAGGGTCTTAACGCAACCATCTCTCACATAAGCTAGTCCCCTATGCGCAGGGACATATTTTTTTACATATCGTGGGGAGTTCAATCTTGTACTTCACAGACTGAGACGAAACTGCAGAAAGCAGGTTTATCCGTTCATCTGTCTGTCTCTGAGAACCGATCTGCCGCCTGCGCCAATCGTTCAGCTCAAGGTGATCTTGCCGGATTTGCAGGGATAAAAAGGTAGCCTGAGGTATGCGAAATTCAGGCAAAGAGGCGGCATGTGCCCAGCCTGCAAAACACATTGCTGAATTTGGCTTGCTGGTCGTTGCAGAATCCGGAGTTACTTCTGAGACGGCATTTCCATCAGGTTTGATTTCCCCAGGACACAACTGCTCTGAATCATGGCCACGGACACAGATGCGGTTGTGCAGACCCAAGAACAAGCAGATTTGGTCAGCAAAGGCAAAGAGAAGTCAGGCTTCTCGCCTTACTGGGTATTTTCACATGGCAATTCTCTCTGCACCTCCCTCTTCGGGAAAAGCTTGGAAAGCTGCATACCCCACAGCCCGGCCTGCCTGGGAACGCTACAGTCCTCCACAGCACAGATTCAATGGACTTAGTTGGGGAGAGGGCCTTAGGTCCATGGTAGAGCACCTGACTTCTTGCAGAAGGTCATCAGTTTCAATCCCTGGGACTACTAGTTAAAATTCTGGGAAACCTTCCATCAAACGCCTTGAAGGGATGCTGGCAGTCAAAGTAGGCGATATTGGGTTTCACTCCCCAGCATCTCCAGATACAGGAAGCAAGGCTTGGGAATGGTCTCTCTTCTAGAGACTGCAGAAAGCTGCTGCCAGTCAGAGTAGATGATACTGGATTGAAGGACCAATAGTCTAACTCAGTAAAAAAGAGCTCCATACGTTCACATGATAAAGTAATGCGATTGCTTTTCTGAGTCCTTCATCAACCTGGTGCCCTCCAGAGGTTTGGGACTAGAACTCTTATTAGCACAACCCAGCGTGGCTGAGTTTAAAACATCTGGAAGGCAAGAAGCTGGAGAAGGATGAAGAAAAGCAACCTGAAATCCGTACTGTAAATATAATGTATTCTTCTCCCATTGGCTGAAGCCCCCAGGTTCTGACCAGGCGCTTCTTGAACATTCTGAAACTTCTACTTGCAGCCTAGAAATGTCTTTTAAAAAATTATTCTCAGGATGCTGAAGGTGATGGAGCTGGAAGTACAAGGACTGCCCAGAGCCCCTGGTTCTGCCTGTTAAAAGATCAAAGAAAGGAATGCATTTGAGGACTGGCGTTAAGAGGGCTGTGCAAATGGCGGCGGCAGCAGAGTCCCGAAATAAAATCATCTCTACTCTCCAAAGCTGGCAAGTCATTTTTCCTAAACCCACCCCTGAGATAAAAGTCTCCAGCAGTGTTCAGGAAGTGGCAGAGGAGGAATGAGGCGGCTTCAGTTTGATCTGCATTTTCCCTGCCCCCCTTAACCAGAGGGACGCCAACTTCAAAACGCGCCCTCCACCCTGAATCTTAAGCTACCTACCACCTACCCTTGGCGATTTACAATCACTTTCCTTAACGTTGCCAGGAAACAGCTCCCTTCTTCTCCTGGCTGATGCAGATTCTCATCATGCTTTCCATAGCTGGGGGCGCAATATCCTCTCAGAGGGGAAGCTTGAAAGATTAACCTTTGAGAGCGCCGATGTGATGCTGTGCTCACTGCTGGCTCCCCCTTTTCGCCACAGGAATCAAACGGCGCCCGAACTTAACGAAAGGGAACATAATTGCATCCCACAAATCTATTTGAAGAGGGTGATGCTGAAGAGGAGAGAGATCAGCAGTTGGGCTGAAGGAGAAGCCGGAAACTGGGAATCTGAAGGCGGTTCCCCTGAAACTGCTAGAGGACCAAACCATCGCCTTGGTTTTGGGGACAGACTTGCGATGAGGTCAGACCACTGATCCACCTGGCCTAGGATGGCTTCTCCAGGTAGCTGCTGCTCCCTAAAGTCCCAAGAGGGTATTTTTCCCAGCCCTTGCCACCAGGGTCCCTTTCACAGGAGACGCTGGGGATTGAACCGGGTTACCTTCTGCAGGCAAAACGCCTGCTTGTCCATTATAAGGAAGCTGCTATGCAATGAGTAGGATTATTGGTCCTTCCAGGCTGGTGTTTCCTGCTCTGACTAGCAGTTCCTCTCCAGGGTCTCAGGCAAGAAGGGAAAAGGCTTTTCAAATCACCCATTACTTAATTCCCTTTTTAAAGGAGATGATAAAAATATTAGATCCGAGACCTTTGGCTCTACAGGCCTGCATGTGTACTACAGTGCTCAGCTTCGAAATCACAATGTTCAACAGCTGAAAGCAGAAACCCTAGGAACAAGACAGGGCCAAACCTATTTACACTAATAATAATAATAATAATAATAATAATAATAAAATAATAATAAATAATGTATTTATTAACCCTGCCCATCTGGCTGGGTTTCCCCAGCCACTCTGAATCACCCCCCAACAGAATATTAAAAACACGATAAACATCAAACATTAAAAGCTTCCCTAAACAGGGCTGCCTTCAGATGTCTTCCTAAAAGTCACAGGGCAGGTGCCATTACCGAGAAGGCCCTCGAAGCTGGACCTCAGTGTCCAGGCAGAACAATGGGGGTGGAGACGCTCCTTCAGGAATACTGGGCCAAGGGCCGTTTAGGGCTTTATAGGTCAGCACCAAACTCTTCTAAAACTCTTCTTCACTGGGTTGGGCAGGTAAGAGGTAACTCTGGACACGCAGAATGCCACCAGGCCATTCTGACCAACGCAATGCCATTTCGGCCCCCGGAAGAACGTACCTTGAGGTCCTTGTTAAGGCCGATGACACAGGTCGGGGTGAAGGCCAGAGACAGGAAGTGAGAGAGAGGAAACCAGAACCAGAACTGGGTGAAGACCAGAACGCCGACCACCGAAGGCATGTGTGTGTGTCCAGTCCTCGACTGCAGAGAAATAGTCACGTTGTGGCCGCCTGGGGAATTAGCACAAAAGAGACACGGGAGGTGAGGGTTGCTTGGATTTACAAAGGGCCCAGAAGAGCCACTGCAGTTCCACGAGGGTTCAGGCGGATCTCTTCATCAATTCAACTGGGTATAAACCAGGCTTCCCCAATCTGGTGCCCAGCAGATGTTTTGGGCTACAATTCCGTGTCCCTGCAAGGTTGCTGAAGGCTGACGCAGGGCTAACAAGCCAACCACTTTTTGTTCACCTACTTAGAACAGTTCTTGCAAATCCTCATTTAGAGTGAGCAGTAGCCATCATTTGCCTGATGTGGCCGGTCATTCCTAGAAACACTGGGATAACTCAGGGGGCAGAGCATGGACTGGTTAAAACTCAAGGTAGTGGGTTCGAATCCCTCAAAGGATTCCTGCATTGCAAGGGGTGGACTAGATGACCCCCGTGGTCCCTTCCAACTCTACCATTTCTATGATCCCTCTCTAGGAACCGACCACAGTGAACACTTGGAAAGCGGCTAAGGATGCAAAAGAAGCCCTGTAGGATCAAAGAATCCGTTGCTCTAGCTTAGTGACGGGCTTTGCAAGCAGTGGTCAGCCAGATGTTTCTCGGAACTTAAGAATAACACGTCTCTTTTATTATTTCCCCTCCAACACCAGGAATTCTGAGGTAACTTGCTCGGAATACAGAGATTTGACTCAGCTGTCATGAAGGTATGTGGCAGAATGTCTGATATACTAGTCAGAGGTATAATCCAGCTATGTAGGCTTTGCTGATTTCATCTTTGTATTGTTGCTAATTAATTTATATACTGTACACCACTTAAGAGATTTTTTCTAAGAGGGTTTTTCCCCCTAAATGAAAATAATAAATACAAATAAATTAGTATCTCTCTGCTCCATTCTCTTTCCTTCTCCCTTATTTCCACTTGCCTGGAAGCAAAATTACTTCTCCATCCTTTCCCCCCCATCCAGAAACCTCCGATCTTCCTGTGCCTAATAGCTAAACTAGGAAGAAGGGGAAAGTCTGCAAGAGATTACATTCCCCCCTCTCGACCAGAAGCAGCTTCAGATTCTACTTCCTTCTTCCTACGGGTTATAAATCTCAGCAGCAGAATTAATCCTGCCAGATAACCAAACCCCTTAATTTCATCCTTGCAAAGCAGAGATCAGAGAGCTCATCAGGTTGATGCAACGCAGAAGCTCCCAGCCAAAGTCAAACAGAAAGGTTAGGCCCACAGAGGGAGTGGGAAGGTGTTAATCGGATTTCCAGGGCTTCCAACCAGTTAGGCAGATGGGAGCTGGAGAAGGCCACCGGCATATTTATTGCTGCTGATGAGGCAGAGGGCAGTGGGACTAATCTATTTAAGATGCAATCAAACTTCAAGCCCTTTTACACTGGGGGGGGGGGGAGACTATGGAGGCCCTCCTCAGCCACCAGACCTGTAGCAGACCTGCCTGGAATAATAATAATAATAATAATAATAATAATAATAATAATAACAACAACAATAATTTATTATTTGTACCCCGCCCATCTGCTGGGTTTCCCCAGCCACTCTGGGAGACTTCCAACAAAGATGAAAAATACATGAAAATGTCACATATTAAAACTTCCCTGAACAGGGCTGCCTTCAGATGTCTTCTGAATGTCAGGTAGTTGTTTATCGCTTTGACATCTGATGGGAGGGCGTTCCACAGGGAGGGCGCCACTACCGAGAAGGCCCTCTGCCTGGTTCCCTGTAACTTGGCCTCTCGCAGTGAGGGAACCGCCAGAAGGCCTTCGGAGCTGGACCTCAGTGTCCGGGCAGAACGATGGGGGAGGGGAGGAGACGCTCCTTCAGATATACTGGACCAAGGCCGTTTAGGGCTTTAAAGGTCAGCACCAACACTTTGAATTGTGCTCGGAAACGTACTGGGAGCCAATGTAGGTCTTTCAAGACTGGTGTTATATGGTCTCGGCGGCTGCTCCCAGTCACCAGTCTAGCTGCCGCATTCTGGATTAGTTGTAGTTTCCGGGTCACCTTCAAAGGTAGCCCCACGTGGAGAGCATTGCAGTAGTCCAAGCGGGAGATAACAAGAGCATGCACCACTCTGGCGAGACAGTCTGCAGTCAGATAGGGTCTCAGCCTACGTACCAGATGGAGCTGGTAAACAGCTGCCCTGGATACAGATTTGACCTGTGCCTCCATGGACAGCTGTGAGTCCCAAAATGACTCCCAGGCTGCGCACCTGGTCCTTCAGGGGCCCAGTTACCCCATTCAGGACCAGGGAATCCTCCACACCTGCCTGCCTCTGTCCCCCCAAAACAGTACTTCTGTCTTGTCAGGATTCAACCTCAATCTGTTAGCCCGCCATCCATCCTCCACCGCCTCCAGACACTCACACAGGACCTTCACAGGAGTGCAGTTGTTAGGCTGACAGTGGTCCAGATTTGGCCAGAAAGTAAACACCACGACCAGAGTAACCGGAAAGTTCTGAATTTGTAAGGTGTATTCTGAAAAGGGTGCAGTATAGTTGAGTTCTACAGGATCACTCTGGATTGCTTAAGTTGGGAAGGGCTCCCTGCTAATGAGTAGTGAGATATCTCTCTCTCTCTCTCTCTCTCTCTCACACACACACACACACACACACACACACACACACTTGCTTCAGGCTGTGTTCACGTGCCAAGCACACCCTGCTGAAACCCATCATGACTTCGGTTTAAACAACTTTGGAATTTTATTTTTCAACATTTAGCCTCTTGACTTCGCCTGCCTAAATCTTGTCATTTCTGGAGAAGGTGACCTCAGCCCTCAAGCATTTGGCATTCACACTCTCACGGTTTCTGTTCTCTTTGCATGACACCCAAACTTTCTCTTGGCTCCCTGTCCTCAGGGCCTGTCCGGGAGCAGGAAAGTTATGCGATCTTGCTCTGCTGCTCATCTCAGAAGCATCACCAGGGGTTGAAGGGACAAGGGTTGACACAGGGCTTAGAAGCAATTCAGAAAACAGGATGCTAGGAATTTTCCAACTCAAGACCTCAACTTGTGCCGAGCTGGTAAAGAGTGATTTTTCTGTAGCCACATTCTGCCACTTTCAAAGCCAATTTTTCAGCATATTATTAAACTTGTGAAGAATGTGGGGTTGAACTACTTGTCACATAACTCGTACAGCAACTCTGCTCAGAAGCAGGAAACTGGTTTATTTGCTGTCTTTCCTTTGCTCTGCAGCATTCATTCTCAACTCTGGACAATTTTGAAAACGAAACGAAACTGCACCCTGCATTTTCCTCCCCATGACTGGTTCATGCACTGGTAGCATCCCAACGTATCCTTTCTGGCTTGTTCACCTTTCTCACCTTTAACCAAGGCTTAGCTGCCAAAATCGTGCTGGCTGGGACTGATGGGAATTGCAGTTCAAAACATTTGGAGGCAGAAGACTGGAGAAGGCTGAGTTACAGCCAGAGAGACCTATAGATGCCTTTCTCCCAGAAAGATCTGGAGTTTTGGAGATCAAGTCACGTGGAACTCTGTGGCCTGGGAACGCTCTATGGCAGCTGAGAAATAAGGTCCCCAAGACCCAAGATGTTATCACACCATCCCTCAAACAGAGAACCACGTTCTTCCCATCAGCAGGCAGCTGTAAATCTTCTGTGACAATGTAGGGACAACCTGGAGGTATCCATCCCTGAGAAGAAAGGTCAGCCCTGTTTGTGCAGACAACCAACAACCCGAGGCAGGTCCAATTTCAGGACGTGTCAGCCAAGTGATTCACGCAAGCAATAAAATCCAAAAGACAGAATCTCATTTGGCTCTTCGCGTTTGCTGATGTGCTATTGGTGCTTTAAACAACTCGGGGACTAATGAGTTGCTTACGAATGCAATCCAAAGCAGGGTGGACGGCGACTGCAGATTGGGTGCAGGAGCTTAATGCAAGATAGAAACTGAGGAGCCTTAAGGACTGCTGCTGCCCCTTGCAGACGCATTTGACCGCTCAAAGATGCCATGAGGGGTGGCTAACACCCCAGAGGACAGGATCACACTTCAAAACGACCTTGACAGATTAGAGAACTGGGCCAAAACAAACAAGATGAACTTTAACATGGGAGAAATGTAAAGTATTGCACTTGGGCAAAAAAAATAATGAGAGGCACAAATTACAAGATGGGGGACACCTGGCTTGAGAGCAGTACATGTGAAAAGGATCTAGGAGTCTTGGTTGACCACAAACTTGACATGAGCCAACAGTGTGACACGGCCAGGCTAAAAAGCCAATGCAATTCTGGGCTGCATCAATAGGAGTTATAACATCTAGATCAAGGGAAGTAATAGTGCCACTGTATTCTGCTCTGGTCAGACCTCACCTGGAGTACTGTGTCCAGTTCTGGGCACCACAGTTCAAGAAGGACACTGACAAACTGGAACGTGTCCAGAGGAGGGCAACCAAAATGGTCAAAGGCCTGGAAACGATGCCTTATGAGGAACGGCTAAGGGAGCTGGGCATGTTAGCCTGGAGAAGAGGAGGTTAAGGGGTGATATGATAGCCAGGTTCAAATATATAAAAGGATGTCACATAGAGGAGGGAGAAAGGTTGTTTTCTGCTGCTCCAGAGAAGCGGACACAGAGCAATGGATCCAAACTACAAGAAAGAAGATTCCACCTAAACATTAGGAAGAAACTTCCTGACAGTAAGAGCTGTTCGACAGTGGAATTTGCTTGCCAAGGAGTGTGGTGGAGTCTCCTTCTTTGGAGGTCTTTAAGCAGAGGCTTGACAACCATATGTCAGGAGTGCTCTGGTGGTGTTTCCTGCTTGGCAGGGGGTTGGACTCGATGGCCCCTGTGGTCTATTCCAACTCTAGGATTCTATGAATTCTGTGAGGCGGCCTCAGGGAAGCCAGGATCTCTCAGCTTCTGCAAAATGAGGGTGAACATCATCTGGGGTGGCCACCAACCAGGGCAGCTTTAAAAGGAGCTTGGACCAATCCATGCAAGGGAAAGCATCCACGGCTACCAGCCACAAAGACTATGCCCTG